CATCATCAAATTAGTAGAACGTATGTTTTATAATTACACACATTAATCGTGTTTTATCTCAACCCTCTTTTTCTGCAACAAAGCTGTATTGATTTTTTCAATAATTTATTTATAGCCTATGTAAGCCGGTCCCCGTCTTAGCGATAAGTTAAATTGTAAAATAAGAACAAAATAGGTAAACGAGGAAAAGGGACAAAGGTTGTGCTTTGAAGGAGCAACCGCCCAGACGGGAACGACGTGACACATCTGGCAAATGTAGCTTGGAAATGGTTACCCAGGTAGACAGTTAGGTAAGAACGGTCGGAAATCCGTAGCCACGGAGGGCATCGTAAATTGGGGATGCGTCAACCCTGTGCTAGACCGCCGTCTTTGCCGGCCCCGCCGCGGCGTGAGAACTCCCCCGACTTTTGAGTTTCCTTTCCGCCCCTACTCCGGGAGAGACCCGGTATAAAAGGGATGACTGGAAAATCAAAAGTCAGTCAAGATGCAAGACTCACCCCAGTGAGTCAAGATCCGAGACTCACCCCCCAGCCAGTCGAAATCAGAGACTCATCCCAGGCAGTCAAGACCAAGGACCGGAAGAGAAGCAGCCACACTCCGTCTGGGATTCAACAAGAGGACTCAGCCAGCCAGAGCCAGCGAGGACCTGCCGTTGCGACCAATCGAGCCAAGTCAGAGGTCGACAGAAGAGATGCTGCGGACACTGATCGTGGCGAGCATCGTTTGGGCTAAGTCCCTTTGTTGATAGACTCATCCCAGATTTAGAGTTATGGCTGACTTGTAGATTGATTAATTAGCAATTAGGGTACTGTTAAGAGAAGGACTTGTGTACAATAAATGTTACTGAATACTGTCTCTGGTTTATTGAATTCTGGAACCTTACCTTCCCCTACACAAGAATAAGTAGCGACGCGCTTCCGCCGACTAATGTCTTGTCGCTTATAGAAAAGCAAGCGGATTATTCGGCCGCCGCCCCGTCGTCCGCTTACACCTATACATATCAAAATACATATGACACGAAGTATATGGGTTTTATTACAGGTCATAACACTGACACAATGTCGCGCAATCCACCCGCAGGCTCTCATTATGAGGCATTAATGAGCGAGGTGGTCACGAGGTCTTTAAAGCAGGATGTGGCGGGTTCTGTAGATGGGAAAGTGTAGAAAGAGGTTAGGATGGATCGAAACCTTTGAGTAGAACTTTTAGAAACAGATTCGAATCAGTTCGGTGGCATTATACATTTGAAGTCGTAGTGGATAGTGAGGTTAGGTCAGGATATAGAAGTGGTAAATCGTTATACATACCTAGGAGTACAACTGACTTCTGAACTTTCATGGAAACCCCACTTCTCGGAGAAATCGTGTTTGGCCAAGTTTGCCCTTAATTCTGTTTGGCGAGGTGAAATGATGCATCTACATATCCCGCTAAAGGCTAAGCTGCATATCTTTAACGTGGTCTCACGCTCAATTTTGTGTTATGCTGCGCAAGTATGGGGATCAGAGGAATTCGTGGAGGGGGAGAGGGTGCTGTGGTTTTCATACGAAAACTGTTCAGTCTTCCAAACTATTCAATTTACATACTGCACATTGAAACCGGCCTTCACCCAATCTTTCTATTCACGTTGACACTGAGTGGTCGTTATTTGGTTAAGGTGCTCCGAATGGACCCCTCCAGATTCCCCCGTATGGTGGCTGAAGAGATCATCAGGCTGGGGATATCTTGGGCTGCTGACTGGGGGTGACTGGCGGACAGGGTGGGAGTAGGTTTGTCCTTTTTGCAACCCTTTTTTTTTTCTTTTCCCATCCACCTCCCCGCCGTACCTAAGGGAGACCCCATACCGGCGGACCATAGCCACTAAACTATTTCAAATGGGATGCAAGTTTAGGGGATCTTATTGTGCTTAACGTCTTCCTTCGACCTTGCCCTGAAAGGGAAGACCCAAGGAAGAAGGGAATTTTTTTTCTTATTATTAATTTATCTAATCTAATAGATAGACCTCAAATGTCCTCTTTTCTTTAACCAGTTCGTTGAGGGTCGGTGACCAAGTGTGGCGGAAGAGGAGCTTTAGAGGTTCCCTCGCACTCTCAAGGAGGGGGCAATTGAATAATCTGAGTTGGACACTGACTCCATAGTCGGGCCACAGTGGACTGTTAGCTCTACGGAAAAAACGGTGAAAGTAGGCGTTGAAATTTCCGTGACCTGTCATTTTTGTGTGATCCAGAAATCTGATTGAAACCACTTTGCTCTTGCTCGGTCCTCAATACTGGGTAGAAACTCGTGGGTTACCTTCCCTTAGTCTTCTGCCCCATCTTTCCTGCCACAAGTTTTCTATCCAAACTGTAAGGATCTCCCGGATCTGCTTTCTAGGTGCAGTTCGTAGCTTTTCCCTATCTGACGCATCCAAATTTACCATTGTTGGCTCCTTTCCACCTCTTAGCTGCCGGATTGCAATTCTACTGTGGAGGACAGTGTCTATTGGTGCAGCGGAAGCAAGGACTTGGAGGGCGTGAGTAAGGGCTGTCCTATAAGCTTTAGTCGTTCTCAGGAGCGCTTTTCTTCTCCTTTTTGCAACCCGAGAGTAAGGCTCTCTCTCTTCAATTATTAGTCGACTGAAAGATAGTTTTATGGTGAGCAACATAGAGAGAGTGCAGGCTTCCCGTCGATACCGTATATATAGGATGATGAATCACGGAGTCAGATGTGCCAGCTTGGTTCGGGACCAAAAGCCAAATAAGAAAATTACAGACATACGTTGGATCCTAAAACTGAGGGGAGAATTGCTGAACCTACGGCATAAGCCGTATGATCTCCTCAGCCAATAGGAGTGTGAGCTAATGCAATTACCGGGTAAGGGAAGACATATACCATTTTGTCGAGGAATGCCCCATTCTGTCCCCCTATCGTTTGTCTGCGTTCGGCGAAAGAACCGTATCGATGGACGTATGATTTTAAATGAGATCGTACTCAAAATAACTGCCAAAACAACTATCATTGATAACAATAGATAAAAGTATATAATTTAAATAATTTAATATATGATTTTTACAATGCAATAAAAACAGTTCTAGGTCCTTTAGTTGTCCATGTCTTTTAGATTCCAATATCAGTCTGCTGTTTAGGTTAAGTCTCTGACTTGAGAGTAGGTGGAATTTTAGGAACCATTGAATCTTTTTGTTTTGGTAAGGATGGTTCTTCTCACAAACTATATCCATCCCTTGAACCTTCTGGACTTTGTAAAAATCTTAAGATGTATTATAATTAGAAATAATTACCCCTACTGGAGCACAACGTCTTTTTCCCCTTCTTTTATTTATTATTACTTCTTCTTTATTTATTCTTTTATTACTTTTAATCGTTTTTATGCGAAATTATATTAAATTTTGGCAGTTTGCACCAAATAGTTGCGACGTATATGCTCAATGTCGATTAACGCTGGACAGACGGTGAAAATGCGCCTTCATCGCTCATACAGCACTCGTTTGTTGGTCACAAATTTAAAAAAAGTGAAATTTATAAGATCCCTATGTTTTGGTCGGCTATATGAATGTGTGACCTGGAGGACGAACTATGCGGAGGGGTAATAATTAACGGACGAAAAATAAGGACACTAATGTATGCAGACGACATAGTGTTGGCCTCTACACCTGCATCGTTGCAGCTCAAGATTTAGAAAACTATTGCGACAAGTGTAACCTTAAATTGAATCTGCAAAAATCCCAAATTCTGTTCTGTCGGTAGGGAGGCTGAAGACTTAAGAAAAATGATAGACGTTTCTTCAAAAATGAAAGAGTGGACTGCGTAAACTGCTACAAATACCTTGGTATCAATTTCACTAAGTCCTTGAACATGAAGCATCACTGCAGAGAGAAGGCCAGCAGCGCTAAGTACGCCGTTAATAGTCTGTGGCGCAAAATAATGACCAACAAGAAGATCTCACTAGAGAAAAAGATGGTGATATTCAACAGCCCCCTGAGGTCTGTAGTATGTTATGATGCGCAGGTCTGGGGTTACGTTTACTTGAAGAAAATGGAAAAGGTCCAGAAATACTTCATCAAGATGCTCTGCCTGCCAATTAGCACCCCAGACTACATCTTATATATTGAGTGCTCGGTCACGCCACTCTACAGTCACACTTTGAGCCTGCATTTGAAATATATTAGGAAAGTACTGAATCACACCTGACAGATTGCCGCAGTTTTTGGCCGGCGAGGTAATAAATAAAGGCAAATTATGGCACAAGCAGCTGTCAAAGTTAGGTAGGCTGTACGGTGTAGGAGTAAGTAGGGAAGAACTGAAGTCCTCTAATACCACTGACCTGATTAAAAAATGGGAGGCGAGCAAAAGGTAGTATAAATAACCAGGTAACCCGTCCGAGAAACAGCTTACATCACAACTTTTACGCAAGACTGGATTTTGACTTAGGGCGAAACTACATGGAGTGCTCTAATATGACAGCCTTTGAGGTGTCTCTGGTCTTGAGGGCGAGGGGTGAATTTCTTCAGCCCAACCGTGGAGACAGGACCGCGCCACCATTTGCTCCTTATGTAACCTCAACGTCCCAGAGGACACTGTCCACTTCATAAGCGTGTGCCCCGTTCTGAGAGAGTTCCGCCAAAGGTACTTTGGGAAACTGAAGCTGGATGTAGAAATTATTGCAATCCTTAACGGAGGGGATAACTGGAGGAAGCTTGTGGTGTACTACAATTAATTAAGGTTTTTTAGTTGAGATAAAAGATTCGAACCCACGATCTTCTGCTAGATACGCCGCTGCTCTACCACATGAGCTATCGCTCGATCCACTCGGACACTAACTTCCCATCTCAACCCCACCTTTGAATATTCCCCCCTTTTTGCCATTTTTCAAATGCCGTGTAATCGGATTGGATTCTCGGCGACAAATGACATGGCCACGGAGAGCTTTAGTGAAGTATACTTCATTTAAATTCATTAAATCAGGGACATATAATAAAATATTTATTTTTATCATAATAAAAAAGTATATGAATAACTATAATTTATTTATTTACAAGAAATCATTAGTTAGTTCAAAGTATCCGTTGGCGAGCTTTTGCAAACTTGAAGGATGAAGGTGTCCTGCCATAGCACATGGCTACCTTGTGATTAGCCATATGATCCAAATACGCCGAAATCGAATACATTACATCATCAGGCGTTACAAAGGCAATAACATTACTGACACAGTTCACTGCGCAAAATTCATTGTGCGACAAATACGACGACTCGGACATAACAGGAAACAGTAAATATGACATCAGTTGCCTTAATTGCGTAACATTTATTGTCTTTCTTTTCCCCTAGTCCAGAAGCAATAAATAAATTGTGCAAAATTGTACGCCCGCTAAGTAAAAAGTCGTTAACTGAACCTGTGAACATTCTGACTCGTGCTAAGAAGCGTATAAACTCAACGTATAAGTAGTTTCTACAATCCATAAGTCTTCGTCAGTGTTAAATGTACCTGTAAACGGATGTCATCTTTAGATTCGGCATTCTGTGAGTCAGATTAGCGAAGTCTTGATTTTGCCGATCGACCGGGCGATAAATGAGAGTCTTGAGATTGGGAAGGAGGTCGGGTATCGCGGGAAAAGTCTCAGAAACACTGCTTTTAGTCGAAAATAAATTCAAATATTCAAGTTTGTTGCAGCTTACCATCAAAGAGTTTAAACCTGAAAATGCGAATTGAGTGTCGAATACGAATGGAAGATGAAGGTAGGACGTACCAATGTTGGAAACTTTGCGGCATCCGGGCAAACTGATTTTTTCCAGGTTTCGACAAGACCTTGCTATCGAGGTCAAAACGGAATCGTCGATGGCGTGACTGTTGCTTATGGTTAGCACTTTCATGTTTTTCATATTTTCGTGCGTAATGACGTTTCTCCAGCCTGCTGAAGTTATCGCCCGAGGAACTGTCACCACCAACGTTTCCAAATGGGGCAATCTTAAAACAAATAAATTCAACGTTTATGAAATAGGCATTAAAACAATTCATTACCTTGTTATCAGCAGCAAACTCTCGTCGTGTATATTGACAACTCTGTACATGTGGAGAGCTCTCAGCAGCGTGCATTCGGATATACTCGCCATGACGGCGTCTCCCAATCCGAGCATGTTCAGTTTCAGAACTCGTAACGTTCCGCACATTTTGGATAGCAGCTGAAGGACAGGACGGTCCGAATACGGTGTCACGCTCCCGATCCTATCAAAATCAACCAGCGATCAGACGCATGAAATCCGTTGAACGTTTTCATTTGAAAACTATTTGCCACTGAAAGGTTATTGGTGTAACACCTGTTGAACGATAGACAATATATCCTCAAATCCTCTACCGGTCTTAGATAATTGATCAACTCTGTCAACTGCTCCGAACCCAACTGTAAGTTGTGGTTGAAATTGATGATTTTCGCGTGCGGTAACAACGGGCCGACATTTTTGTAAAATTCATCCGGATCCTCGAAACTGCATCTCTTCACCGTCAACTCCCCCAGTTGAGTGCAGGACCTTAACACGTTAAGTAAAATACCCGTATTGATATCCGTGAGCCTTAAAAGAAAACAATAAAAATAAATGGGTTATAAAAGTTGCACAAATGAAAAAATAATATAAGAAAATTATAGTGGTAACCGAGAAGAGAGAGAGTGTCGGACACTTATGTCCTACTCTCGCGGTGCTAGGTTCAAATCCCGTAATAATCTATTATAAAGAGGTTCTACTAGGAGTAACTGGACGTTAACCCCTCCGACCTGACAGAAATTTCTATTTCATATTTATGAAATTTTCATAATAGTCCATATATGTTTAACAGTCCTAATTGACGGTATTAATTATTTTAATTAATAATACATTTTATCTAAGGTCTTGTTGAGATGAAATTACTAGGGTCACGAGCGAGATTCGAACCCACGACCTTCGGCTCAATACGCCGCAGCTCTAACCACTTGAGATAAGGCATACAAAAACAAAAGAACCCTAAACCCATAGTATGTAAATAATTACTTTAATATTGTTGGCCACAGCATAGGATTAGATAAAAAATATAATTAATTAATTCACTACTTTCGTGGTCCGCTTGACCAATTAATACATGACAAATAATTTAGGTTTTTAGTTGAGATGAAAAAAAGCTAATGGCACGAGAGGGATTCGAACCCACGACCCTCGGCTAGATACGCCGCTGCTATACCACCTGAGCTATCGTGACCTCGATCCACTCCAAAAGTGGCAAAAAGGAGGGAAAACTCATAAGGTGGGGTTGAGATGGGGAGTTGATGTCCGAGTGGATCGAGGTCACGATAGCTCAGGTGGTAGAGCAGCGGCGTATCTAGCCGAAGGTCGTGGGTTCGAATCCCTCTCGTGCCATTAGCTTTTCTTCATCTCAACTAAAAACCTTAATTAATTGTCATAATTAATTAAAATTTCGTAATAGTATTGTATTATTAGGACGTCCCACCCTCGGACGGGATCATCGCCATCCGGTCCTCTAAGCGAACGGTAAAGAACTTGATAAAAGAAAGATGGCAGGAAGATGCATGTCGAAGAGAGGTGTCATAACCTGTAGATGGCCCCGAGTACCTGAGCCGGAGACGAGGCATCGTCTTTACTCTAATAAGAATACAGACATAGCCGGTTGACCAAAAACCGCGCATAAGGTCGCTCTTATGCTGAGAAAGGTTGCTCGAAACTTATCATGCCTTCGCTCTTTAGAGAGTGTATTGTGAATATAAGAATGGTTCTCGGGCACAGTAGAAAGTTTCTGAGATGCCCTATTACACTTTTTTTTATTGTATTCAGATTTGTTTTATATGTTTTGTTTGAATGCGTGTATTTATTAGTATGAGCGGTGAGGGGGGAAAGGGAAAATGTAGCATCATCATCGCCCTTCCACAACCGTGTTTAGAGTGGATGACGGAATATTTATAAAAGTACCCCATCGATCATAATGTAAATTCGATTATTAATAATGTAGGTAATATGTAGGTCGATGTAGCGCAATCTACATGAGTGTGAATGTATTTATTTGCGCGACTGTATTGTAGAAATTAGTAGTAGGCTAGATTCCATGCAATAGGGGGCTGGAATGACAACTGTCGAAAGCCCTCGTAGGAGCCAAACCAAGCTTGAGCATACGACTTAAGAGAAATAGTAACGACCCAGGAGCACAACGGGGCAGGTGAACCCTCCAACCCAACCTAAGGTCAGAACGGGAAATGACAACCCTTTGGGTGAAAGTCTAATATTGTATATTTGCAAATCATACAAAGTTTTAGTTCTTTGACCTGGAAGGCAGGAGGAAATTAATTTACTATCGCGTAAAACTATTTGCTTAGTAGACTGATTTACCTATTATCTCTTGAAGAATTTATTTTCAGGCGAGTCAGCTTCAAATTCGAAAGAGCAACCTCCGTCAGTAGGTCGTTGATATCTCTCCTACTCAACATATGTAAGGCAATTTTTTTATATGTATTTTTTTATATTGTTTACGTTACCAATGTAAAAGCCAGTTGACCTCTATTTTTAAAATTACCGATTAACTTTAGTTACGATCGTTGTAATCGTACCTGCAGAAAAACTTGAGATCCCGAAGGGAATAGCATCTTCTTAAAACAGAAATAACAGTATCGGTATGGAGACTAGGCCCGAACTCCAATTTCTTGATCAACCTTGGATTTCTTGATAATTCGTTCCACCTTAAATAAATAAATACAATAAAAAGAACAAAATATTTGGGGAGAATTTCTTACATAGAGGACCAGGGTTCAACCCTCGGCGTTACCCTTGAAATTAATCATTTTAGAAGTATTGTAAAGTAACGAGTAGTAATATATAGACCTCCTTCCGGTTGTCCGGAAAGTAATGCAGGTTTATGGTCATAAAATAAAAACAATTTCATAAACGATTTTAAACTATTTTTATTAATTAAAATACACTTCACTACTCTCAATACACTTCTCTCAATGATGAAGACAAATTTTGTAAACGCATGTTCTAATGACTTTTGATCTATTCATTTTTATGTTGTAAAACGTTGTCCAGGTGTCTGAAAAAATGGTACTCAGTGGGCGAGAGCTCTGGAGAATCGGGAGGATGAGGAAGAACCTTATAACCAAGATCAGCTGTTTTCATGTTGTCAGATGTGAAAACCGAGCATTGACGTGTAACAGAATCGGTCTTTTTCCGTTTCAATTTGAGAGCAATATATATTATATATAGCACTTAACTGGCAACCCTGACGCACACCTCAATGCACTTTAAAAAACTTTGAAATACCCTCTTATCACGCCCAGTCGCAGAAGTCACAGAGAATAAGGATTTTAAAGTGTTGACCATCTTAGAGGAAAATCCTAATAATAAATAAGCAAATAATAATAATACAGCAAATATTATTCTCCCACTCACATCACTAATTAAACTTTGACTACTCCTCAGAAAGAAGGACTTTAATACAAAATTAACAGCTTGGTTGGACGGAAGAAGTTCATAATAAAACATCTCCTTCTAATCCCATTAAATGGTCAGCATTATCTTCTTGGGATGTATCCGCATTTTGGGATTGTTAACCTGTTTATCCTACAGTCAAGTATTTTCAGATTAAGATAGATAATTACAATGTCGACCATCATCTTACTAGATGGGTGAAGACCTACTTGGAGGGGAGGATGGTCAATATGTGCTTATGTGGTAGCACTCTTAGAATTAATGTAAAAGGAGGCTGTCCACAGGGAGGCTGTTTGTCACCTCTTTTATGGCTAATTACAGTAAACAACTTAATAGAACTTGTGAATAATTCAGGTTTCTACTGTCAATTATTTTCAGATGATGGTACCATAATGTTCACAGGTAGGGATCTTCTGACTCTTTCATTACTGATGGAAAACGCCATGGGATTGCTTTATGGGTGGTGTTGTGACAAAGGTTTATCAATTAATTCTGCTAAACTAGAATTGATAATGTTTAGCAGGAGAAGAACATTAGGTAATTTTTTAAAAAAATTCAGGGCATAGAATTAAACTTAGTAGATTCAATCAAATTCCTTGGTGTGACGCTTGACAGGAAACTTGATTGGAAAGGTCATATCAATAACATATACAGGAAAGGCACTATAGTGGTGCAATGTAGGAGAATTGTCGGTAAAACATGAGGCATCAAACCATGGGTAGCCCAATGGCTATATACTGCAATTATTCTACCTAGATTCTTTTTCGCAGCTTTAGTATGGTGGAAAGGTCTAGAAAAGAAAGGGAACAGTAACAAATTAAGGTCATTTCAAAGACTAGGTTGTTTGATGGTGAGGAGCATTTTCAACTACACCCACCCGAGCACTTGAAATCATAACCAATACCAGACCTCTTCACATTGAGGTTAAGGTCAGAGAATAAGGATTTTAAAGTGTTGACCATCTTAGAGGAAAATCCTAATAATAAATAAGCAAATAATAATAATAATACAGCAAATATTATTCTCCCACTCACATCACTAATTTAACTTCGACTACACAGAAAGGAGGTCGCGGGGCCATTTCCTCTTGAGACGCCTTATGGGATTGTACGGATGGGTTCCATTGGACGAGGCATGAGTGAGACTATGAGGTTTGGGAGAGCTTATTCTGGAACATGGTAAATTTTTGGAGAATTAATGTTGGGATAAATGGGATTTTACGGTTGTTGTGAAGGGTAGAATTGGAGACATCACATTTATATCTGATCTAAGGGCTTTAGACTGAAAGGATTGGAGATGTTGGATATCGGACGGTTTAGTAATTCCTCATAGTTCTATTCCGATGTACAATCGTTTTGTAGACTGTAAGTTTGGTTTTCGTCGATAGAATTGTCGTTCTATAAGTTTGAAGACCGTAGTGTCTACATAGTTCTTGTGGCAGTCTGCGAATTCCACATTAAGGGTGAGTCTAGGTTGGACCCAAGGTAACGAACGCAATCGGACATAGTTGTAGTATATTGTATGAGGAGATTTCTATACCAATCTGTTAAACATGTGATCTCTGTTGATCCTCCGTAGCAAGCGGTCACAGTAGTACAGTTGCGTCATCGGCAATAGATGCAAGGAGGGTGGTAGATGTAGTGGAAACGTCTGCAGTATAAAGGATATTCAGGATTGGTTCAAACACACTGCTCTGCCCGGCCAGAGATCAGTATTCGGAGTAATCTGATCCTTGTCGGAACCGAAAAAAACAGCTCGGTTACATGGGAGGATTAGGTAGATGATATTTGGAAGGATTCGCTTTAATCCTATACCATAGACCTTTGCGTCACACGCGTTCTTACGCTTGGAAACTAACGTACAATAAGAACAAAATTAGACAAAATTAGCAAGTGAAAATCCGTTTTTTTGTAAATTCAAAAAAAAAATTGAGCTTCATGTAAACAAATTGAGTCAACAATGAGCCATTTTGTACTACTTTTTGCAAACTTTCATGTAACTTTATGATTCCGTATTTCCATAACTTTTCAGGTTTTTGACCAATGAACTCCTCGATGTTTGTTTGTTTTTTTTTTCCCCCGAGCCAGGAATAAGAGAAAACGTGAAAGAGCAATGGCAGTCTGCCATAGGCCATAGGCTCATAGGGCCGATCATTATCCTGGTGGAAAACAATCCCATTACGACTAGCAAATACCGGTCTTTTTGGTCGATTTATGACTTTAATGCAAAATTAACAGCTTGGTTGGACGGAAGAAGTTCATAACAAAACACCTCCTTCTAATCCCATTAAATGGTCAACATTATCTTCTTGGGATGTATCCGCATTTTGGGATTGTTAACCTGTTTTTCCCAGGATGTTCTTCTTTGATCATTGTTGTGACCCACATTTCACCCCAGTTATCAATATTTTTAAAAATTGTCTATATTGCGTTTATAAGTGAATCGTAGAGGGTTATGCGGTACAATAAATTATCAGTCAACATCGAATAAGCCATATATTAATAAACGTATCCAGCTGCTCTAAGAAGCGTTGAAACGCTTGTATGAGCTTTGTTAAGTGTCTTTGCAATGTCTCGTGTCGTCGAGAGTTCCAGATGAAAGGTTTTGATCGAGGGAACACCGAGGTTTTAAACAGTAGAGCAGAAGGACATGAGCTGGTAGTTAATGGTGAAATAAGAATGAGGGACGAAATTGGGAAAGTTACTGAATCCTTTAATAACGGTTTAGGATTTAATTCTAGGTAGTTGTTATGTGCCCATTCGTTTATGGAATTAAGAACTTCCTGCATTCTTGGATATAAGGACTTATAAATTTAGGAGTCGTCGGCATAGATGTGGTAATCGAAATGCTGATTGGAGTCGGGGAGATAATTGATGTAAATGCTGAACAAGAGAGGGGAAATGCTAGAGCCTTGATGAACACCTGAAGTTAAGATGGAAGGAGATGCATGGCCATTCGGAATATTCACTGTTTAAAAGCACCAGGTAAGAAAAGGATGGAACCATGGTACTAATGGAATCGAAGGCTTTGGTAAAATCAGGCGAATGAGTATGGTAATTTTTTGTTGGTTGTATGTTTGTCGTTCAATTTTAACTAATTAAAGGCGGATTGAGTGGAGAAATGCTGTTGGAAGCATGATTGGAGGGGGTTACGAGGAGATTCACATTCACGCAAATAAATACTTTCACTGTCAACACTCTCTTGGGATATGAAACTTTCCGTATTATATACAATAAAACCCTGTTTCCTCCAAGAATATAACAGGGATCCCAATACTAGCTGCCTCGATCAAGCGTTCTTATTGATATTCCTACATGCTCTCTATAATGGAGCCAAGGAATCGCACCGTTACCTTTGTCTGTAATGCAAAAATGTAACCGTATTGGGATCATAGAATTAATTATGTTGTTTTACTGTTTACTCAGAAAGGAGGTCGCGGGGCCATTTCCTCTTGTAGGGGTGGGGGTTGTAGGGATGGGTTCTATGGACAGGGCTTGGGCAAGACTATTTGGATGGTGGGAGAGTTTTTTGTGGAACTTGGTAAATTTTTGGGGAATACATTTTTGGATATAAGGAATTTGAAGGTCGTTGTGGAGTGTAGCATTTGAGACATAATACGGAGCATTTACAATGGATCTGAGGACTTTAGATTGAAAGGATTGGAGACGTTGGATATTGAAAGGTTTAGCGGTTCCCCACAGTTCTATTCCGTATGTCCAAATCGGTTGTAAATTGTTTGTTTTTTGTCGATAGTTTAGACTGTCGTCTTATAAGTCTGTGCAGTAGACCATAACGTCTGTAGTCTGAGTCTAGGTGGAACCCAAGGTAGCGAACGCAGTCGGATTTGGGGTTAGGAACGTTGTTGTACTATATCGTGGGAGGAGGTTTGCTTCGGAGTGTAAATGTGACATGGACGCTCTTGCTTTCGTTTATCTTCATTTTCCATTGTCTACACCAATCTGCTATACATGAGATATGTTCCTGCAGATCTTCCGAAGCAACCGCAGGATCGGAATTGGAGGATAGTACAGCTGATCTGCGAAGGATGCAAGTAGGGTGGTGGGTTTAGTGGGAATATCTGCAGTATAGAGGATGTAGAGGATTGGTCCGAGCACACTGCCCTGAGGTACTCCCGCGGCCAGAGAGCAGTATTCGGAGTAATCTGATCCTTGTCGGACCCGAAAGAACCGCTCTGTTAGATAAGAACGGAGGATTAGGTAAAGAGTATTTGAAAGGACACGCTTTAATTTGTACAATTATACAAATTATAGAATTGATTAAGCATTTCCTATTGACATATGGATTGTGCATATGTCCAGTGCCTTTTAAAGTTATGTATATGTACTTTAATATTTTAAAAAAATATTCTAATTAAATACGAATCAACCCTTGCCGTATAAAATATTAAAAATGACATAATTGTATTTAGAACTAGATTTTTTTTTAGAATTGTAAGATTTAATTTTTGTTCAATATTTGCGTCACATTTCTTAATTGTACTGGACATACTGATCATAATTTAATAAAAATGTTGAGTTATATTTTCTCACATGTTTCGAATCCTTATAACAAAGAATCTTTACTTATTAGGGGTGCATTTTCTAATAATGATTTTCGTAATGTATTTAAGACAGTTTATACCACGTAGAAACATTACAAATCATGCCCAAAAATATTTAATCGGCCAAGTTATTCTTTTATCCCCGTCACGGGTAGAAAAGTTCGCTTTATGACGTTCCTATTTTACAGATAAACCTACAGAAGTCATAGTTACCGTTTGCACACCAAAGCTACTTTTAACTTGATTTCTTGAACTGTCAGAAGCGAAAAAATTTGGTAGAGAACCTCATCCGGGAGGGACTCTATATATGGCCATGAGGACATCCCCGAAGCAAAAAAAAATTCATCAGGGAACGGGGATCCCTGACCCACTAAAAATTTTTTTTCTTATAATTTCTACATGGAAAACTAATGGATTTGAAATTTTTTTAAAGTTTTGTTGTAATTTCAGCCATATGACTGAATTTGGGCGTTTCTTAATTTTCATTTTTTTTATATTATGTTTTATACGGGGTTATGAACAACATAAGCGTGATGAATTGGAATACATTCTCAAAATCGATCCTCGCCACACAATATATTTACAGAGAGGCCCCTAAAAAAAAAGAAGTACATAAAAATCAGTTAAAAACATATCACAGATCAAAGAAATTAAGATTTATATGACTTAAACTTAGAGAAGTTTTTTTAAAAACCAGAAATTAGATTAATAAAATCCGTTCACCTAGAATTATATATTAGAATGTGTTTTGTGTTTAAAATGCTTACACTGAGCCTAACAAAAACATATTTTTTCTACAACAGCAAAATTTAAATTTTTCTAAACATATGTAAAAATCATTAAAGACAGGCTCGGGAAAACATTTTTACTCGATAAAAGTGGCCCTGTTAATTTTTTTCTTTAAAAAATGTACATATTTATTGGACATAAGTGATATACAGTTTGGCAAATAATGAAAAATATATTATACAGTAGCGTCAACGCTAATTGACATGAAACAGATGAGGAGGTTTCAACCAAGTGGATGTCCTCCGGGAAGGTCAGGGTGATGTCTCTTTTTCAACTTTCTAAGTTCACTTGTCGGCTGCAGCGAGTGGACAAAATCAGTGGTATTCGAGTTCTCAGTAATGCGTCGATAAAATTTCGCATGTGCTTCTTTACACCCCTACGGTGCAGATGGCTCCAAAACACATGAAGAAACCGGATCAGGCGTTTCTTGTACAAGCCCGAAACATGAGCTCATTACGTAAGTACATCTCGGTCATTCAAGCTGAAAAACCTTCAAAGCTTGTGACTTAGAAAATCTTAAAAAAGACACAGACGAAGAATCCTTACAAGATCACATAGTCAAGCTGCTAGGAACCTGAGGAAACCTGATGATATCTTAGGTACCAGGAAACAAAGGTATTTTGGATAAAGACAACAGACATACTAGCTGAGGAGGTCAGCAGATGCTCAGACCCTGAAATTATTCTTGGGTTAACACAAACAAATATAAATCCTCCATCACTGAATGGATTCAGAAAAAGATAAAAGGAGAATTGGATAAACTCTAGGGGTGCTAGACACAGTCAACTTATGCTAAAACAGCCATCTTCAAACGATTAGACCAGGCTAAACTCGGAATGTTAGGACTAATAACCGGTAATAATGATGATCCCATAGGTTATGCAATGAGCAGGAAGAAACAGCCTCTCATCTTCGAATCCGAAGCAACCGCTCAATGGAGACGTCGATTGATTGAACTAAGGAACTACGAAAGTACAAGCCAGAAACTCCGACTTCCTACTATCCTCCATCATCATCACCTTTACAACTTATTATATATTTAGATCACGGTGAAGTATAGGTTTCCGATTCAACCGAGGCACACTCTTGATAATCCTCAGAACTCGATTTTGGTAGATTTGAAGCCTTTTTAATTGAGAGTCACTTGCAAGCCCTAGGAAAGGTTATGCATACTGCCAAAGGATAACATCCGTTTGTTGAAGAGTGAAAGTGAAGAAATTTTGTCGAGGATAGGTTTAAGAAGATGGGTTCGCCCCAAAAGTCGTTTAATCACATCACTGTTATATTTTAAATATGTTAATCTTTTATCTTATGACGTCTAAATTTTTGACGGAATCAACTTCAACTACCCGAGCAGCATCCATGACTATCGGTCTTTTAGATCTGTGATAAATGAATGCAACGAGAGTGGACTTTTGGGGATTTACTTTCACACGCCATTTTTGATTACAACTATTAATTTTGTTAACATAATTTTGAAATTTTGTTTGCCTTTTCCTTTATTTAATATAGCGAAATCTAAGGTTGTCATGGTCTTGATATCGAAGTGACGCCGTCTGGTTTGGTGCTATAAGTTCTATTGTTCACTAGTGAATTCACAATATGAAGTAGGAGTCTGGCAGCTTAATCTTGGAGCATTCTTAGTCCCATCTATACTGCTGGCCTACTATATTCCTTAATACATCGTCGTCAGGCGCGCATATTGTCTTCTAATTCGAATGCTATCCACCTGCAACATCCAAGCACACCTTGACCTTAACGAAGACCGGTTCAAAAAGTGGAGGACAAATCTAAATACAGATTTCCATTCAAGTCAGATCCTTAGGACTATGCTTAGATAGTAGTCTGACGTGGACACAAGACTTAAAAGACAACAACTTAACAGAAGACTTACTTGCACAACTACGAAGACTTCTACAAAGATTTGTGTTGACCGTCAGCACTAAACTAACTTTATGCAAGACTTTACTGCGAACACTTTGGACATAGGAGTCACATCCAAGCCTTCTTCCTCATTGTCATGAGCAGTCATATTGCCAAAGCTACTTATTACGTCACTAACTTCACTATCCACATAGACCTTGTCACGAGGCGCTAGGGGTCCCCTAAGGACACGTTTAGGTGGGACAAATGCCCCCTTCCATCACAGAAGGATAAGTGAATCAAATTTCGGGCTAATAAAGTCTCGGCTCGTGATCTCTGCAGCGGACTGATCCTAGCTTCTCTAACTGGTTAAACCGTAAGTGCTTTTTGTCTCCACCGATTAAGCTCCTCCGTTCGCTCAATTATCAATTATTAATTATTAATTGCCACAAGAAAGTTTGAGGCCTATTTATTATTAGTTTGTATAAATTTTACCATTGAAGTAATAAATTTATTTTTGTTCAAGAAGGTTTTGTTTTACTTTTGCTTTTCATTTTACTTTTCTTTATTTTAATTCCCCCACGCTTTCATCACAGCGCACTCTGTTGATTTCGCTGTACGTGGGCTTTGGAAACTGCGAGCCATTTCCCGGACTTAAGGTAAGTTTAGGTAACCGAAGTCCGTCGCAGGATTGAGCAAAGCTGACAACCTCAACATTCCTTTTGTTAATAAACTGATCCGTTCCCGATTCCAAAAGTTCTACACCGACCCAACCTAATCCTACTGGGCCAGCCCTCTCAAAGCATTTCCATTCCGTCGCCTTAATCGACGATGACCTCCAGACCTCCTTGCTCCTTAATCATTCACAATGGCTGGTTTCTTCACAAAAGTCTTGGACAACTACTAAAACCTTAGGACCGAAATCCATCATGGCCGTGAAAACTAAAATAATCTTATACAACCCTTTACAGCAACAATGTTGGACATACAGAGTGAACTGTGGTTTTCTACCAAGCCATCCAATAGCCAACACATTTCCAATTAAAAGTACTTAAACAAATCGTCAAAGCTCCTTACTACGTCACTAATCTCACGATCAACAATGGCCTGGACATTCCTTTCGTCAACGAACTAATCCGAACCAAAAGTTATACACAAACCTCTGGATCCAACCTAATCTATTGTTCCAGCCCTCTCAAAGCATTTCCATTCCGTCGCCTTAATCCACGATGACCTCCAGACCTCCTTGCCCCTTAATCATTCACAATGGCTGATTTCTTCACAAAAGTCTTGGACAACTACTACCTAACCTAAGGGCCGAAATCCATCATGGCCATGAAAACTAAACTAACCCAAGCCATCCAATATCCAACACATTTCCAATTAAAAGTACTTAGACAAATAGTCAAAGCTCCTTACTACTCACTAACCTCACGATCCACAATGGCCTGAACATTCCTTTCGTCAACGAACTAATCCGAACCAAAAGTTACACACTAACCTCTACATCCAACCTAATCTATTGTTCCACCCCCTCTCAAAACATTTCCATTCCGGCACCTTAATGGACGTCGACCCATTCCTAGCCCCTTAGTCACTCATACCGAGTACCAGCATGGCATATGTCCTCCGGGTGCAGCGCTGGCATTAGTGTCAGTGTTGTGACGATGTAAAAAAAGTTGTAATTTCTTTTGTAATATGTGTAAGGCACAAATTAAATAATAATAATAATAATAAAACAATTTGAACCGAAGTCCAGAAAGGCCTACTGTGTGTAAACAAATAGAGCTTGACAGATTGTTTTTTTTGTTAAAAATTAAGCCAATTACTGTACGGTGCTGTAGTTGGCATGTGGGCTTCGGACAGAAACGAAATTGGAAATCGGGAATTTTGTGTAATAAATATAGCAGTTTTTTTCCAAACGTTTTGGGGAACAAAAGTAATAAGCTGATAAGGCGGTAGCTTTTAGTATCCTTGACAAGTTTAGTAGCTAGCTAGGCAGCTGGAAAATAAGCAAGGCGAGGCTTTGAGTTGTCGAAGGAAGAAGCACCAAAGTTCTGCGCGGTTAATTTTAAGCATTTCTTGATGTTAATGTTAAAAAATCACTATTGAATAATAAAAGAAATGTCAAAATCAGATTCGATTTAGAGTACAATATGGTTTAAAATATATCGATTAAACGAGTGATGAACTACGTTAAACTAAAAAAAACCTGTTTGTTTTTTCATGTTTTTATCACTTTTGCGCATTCAAATAGGACATTGTATTATCTATTCACAACACACAAACAAGATAAGCCTGTTGGTATAAAACTGTGTGTAAACAATTTTACATAAAAATCAATATAAATAATAGTTAAATAGAAGAAAGCTTTTTACATTTCATAAATTTACATTATGCTACGATAAAATGGGTCACTGGTGTAAATATCAAATGACCCGTTAGAAAACATCCTATGCTGGGGGACCAGTTATCTATAGTGACGAAGCACCCCCTACCCCTGGATATAGCCTCTTATTGAATGGAGGGGCGATGCCTTCAAGATCAATCAATCGCCGGAGTAAAACCGAGAATAAACACTAATCAGTAGAAGTACGACTGGACACAGTGAAGTCACGAACGGCGATTTTATCATGTCCTCCCACGGTAAGTCACCGTAGTTCCAATTACGAGGAATCTCTTAAAAAACATTATTTACCTCAATAAATAAATTGTACTTACAATAATAATATACAAAAATTTAAATAAAAATCATGAGGTTATTGTATAATTACAAACTTTCAGGAGATTGCCTTTATTTCTCAATGATTAATTTGCACAATTATGAATTTAACAAAATTATTGCTAAACCTTGTTTATATTGGGAAACTTATAAGACAATAGTTAAAATATTGAGTGAATCATATTACAAACTACGTGATTATTAATCTTCAATAAATTATAAATTAATTACTGCCAGATTTACAGATTTTGCACTCTTTTTTATTAAAAATTTTTCAACTTAAAAACCTGACTACTTGATAGACCCAAGTCGTAAATGATATCTTTTTTGTATTAATTTTTTAAATTCAATAAAGCATTATTATACAGGGTGTCTTTTATATGGAATAAAAACCTCCATACAAACCATGGTTTGATTCTCAACCCTTTCGCAGTTATTCACATTTTATGTTTTTCTTTTTTTTTAACTATCTTCAGTTTTCGTTATAAATCTACTCGTAACTTTTGAACTATTCATTTTTGGAAAAATCAAAACAAAAGCATTGAAAGAGCGTTAAATTTCCTTCTAGAAACACGCTTTAAGAACTTTCACTGTAATTTCTGTTAAAAAACAAAACAATAAATCTTTCAAAACCGCTAAAGTTAAAATTTGTAAAAAAAACTACATACACAAAATCGTTGGGAGGATTCAAGGTATAGCTGTCGAATTGCATAAAAACTTCTTCGTTTAATAGGTTTTCTAGCTGTTTTTTTTTTAATTACATAGAACGAAAATGCAGAAGTTTTATGTTCAATGGGAAAAAAGTGGTGATGGTGGGGAAAAAGGGGAATGGGAGTAATTCGGCTTTTTGTCCTGGGCAAAATTTATTTCCCAACTCTGTCATATTAAAAACACATAAAAAAAGAGACAAAACATCTACACTAAAAAATAGAACAGTACAGAAGTTATAAAAATCAACTTTAATCTGATAAAAAAGCACAGAAAAAAGAAAAAGTCGACGTAAAAATCAAACAAAAAAACATAGAGAGACAATTAACATAATGCTTTTCTTTTTTCTACGTTTAATGTAAAAATTTTGTCTATTTTTTTATTCGTTTCGTTTCATTTTTCTTCCTTTTTGTGCGTTTTATTAAGTTGGGGTGTAAATTGTTCCCAGAACAAAAATTTTAATTGCTAGATCAACCCCATTTCTTTTTTCACCCCTTCACCGCTTTTTTCCCATTTAGCATACAATTTCTTCATTTTGGTTCGACGTAATTAAAGAAAAAAAAATTGCCGTGAACTTTTCTAATGAGGTTGCAAATTTAGTTTTTTACAAATTTTAAATTTAGCAATTTTTCAATGATTTAGTGTCTGTTAGGAACGTCCTTGAATGCTTTTTTTTAATATCTCTTTTTGGATAGTCACAAAAATGAATAATTCTAGAGCTACCAGCATATTTATGACGAAAACATAAGATAGTTGAAAAATAATAAAATGTTGATTATCTACGAACGGGTTGACAATCGGACCAAGTTTTATACGGTGGTTTTTCTTACATTTGGGGCGTATTAGGGTGATTTTTCTAGAAAGAGACTATAATTTTTTCAAATAGAATCAAATGGTGCTACCCGAATTTCAAACGTATCTACCATTTTGTAATAGCGTAATTTTTCATTTTAAAAAACTTTAAAAAAAAATTTTCTAGCTTATTTGAAAGAATTATTTCTAAAAGTTACCCATAAGTTATAAAAATGTATACATCATTTCTAGGGATTTTTTATTTTTGGACCTGCAAATTGATGAAAATTTAAAAGCTCGTTCCTTACAAAAATACATTCTCATTTTCCAAAAATTACCATTTGACGTGAAAGATGACTTTTGAATATCAAATCACTATTTACATTTTTAAAATTGCCCGAACAAAAATAACCTAAGTGTATAATTTAACCTGATCAGTTTTAGAGGTTTTACATGAATTTCTTTTTCAGAATATCCGAAAAACGTAGCTGTGATAGGAGCCGGCGTCGCGGGTCTGGTGGCGGCGCGTCACCTCTCCGATCCTGCCTGCCCCTGCAAGCTAACCCTTTTTGAACAGACGAACTCCCTGGGCGGCACCTGGGTTTACTCGGACATGATCGGTGAGGACGAATACGGACTTCCTGTACACTCTAGTATGTACAAGAGTCTCAGGTAATTTCCTGTTCGATTAGCAGCTAAAAAAGCGGTTTAACTTAATGCGTGATCGTCACATCGGTTAATATGGTCATATCATGATGGGTTTCTATTCTTCTTTCCACGGTTGGGTGTTTTGATGGGCCGGGGTCAGACCTCGGTCTTAGGTTTCCTGCGTTGTCAACAGCTAGGCCGTTTCAGCCCTAACGGATGCAGTTTTAAGCCTAGGATGTCGAGTTGAGTACTCAATATACCTCATCACTCATCACTCTTGTGTCATTTTTTTTTTTTACAATGGATACCAGGAACTGGAGGAGTTCCCTCCTGAGTACTGCAGCTGTTCAGCTTATTGTACTCTTATTGTACCTGACTCCATATTTTTTTTTGGGGGGGGGGCTCGCAACACAAATATGAACTTGCGCCCTCGTTGTGCCCGTGTTCTTCCATCGAAGAAACTCATTTTTGAATGGGGTTGGGGCCAAATTCAGGGTCGCTGAGATCCGATCCCGCCCCTTTCATTGATGAGTGCCGTGTCAATTTCTTTCAATTGCGGCCACCGGTCCCCTTAGGAGTCAGAAAAAGTCCAGAGGCGACGGTGGGGATCGAACCCACGACAGCGGGATCTACTAGCCGAGAGTCTGACGCCTTAACCACTCGGCTACCGCGGCCCCCCCACTCTAGAGACATACTATAATTAAAGTAAATCGCAGGGAAAATCATTCCCTATCCTACAATCATACAACAGCCTTTAATATTAACAAATACATTTCATTGCAGACCTTTTGTAGATATGTCATTGGGTTCAAATTTCCATTGTATCATAGAAACTACGAGGTCGACAACTAGTCACAAGGTAACATACATACTTATAAACCTTTAGTAGTGTTGGGTTATGACTAGCGCAATGCCTGAAGCTGGTAGCAATGTAACCAACTGACACCTCAGCATTGATAACAGAGTTAGCAAAGTTACTAACTTATACATCAGCATAGCTTCATGAGGCGGAATCAAGGTAACAAATTTAACCTCAGCATAGTTGCCTATGCTGAACGTCTTTTTGTAAGTTCGCGTTGATAGAAGTACTTGTGGTTTCTAGTCTGACGACGAGCGTTTAATGCTCGAAATCCGGATTACTGCGGAAAATAAAGCAATAGTACCATCTTAGCGTAGAACCTCGTTTTTCAGTCCATTACGTGTTAGCAAAGTTACGAATTATATATATCAGCATATTTGCCTGAGATGGAACAAATGATTCGTGCTTTGTAGCACAGTTGCTTACTTGAGGTGGTAGCATGTTGCCAACTCACACTATTCGCGCTAATAAATACATTCACTTGTAATACATATCAGTTGAGAGAAAACATATCTATGAAGTACCATATAGAATCAAACAGCCCTGTTTTCTCCAAAAATCGGAACAGGGGACCCAAAGACTCGCTGGTTTAGGATGTTTCTCATATCGCGTAGTAGCCTACACGCTCTTTATATAAAACCGAAGAATAACATCCTTTTAACTATTTTCTAATTTGCCTTTTTAAACTGAAAAACCTTGTACGCCAATTATATTCGGATTCTACTGTCATGTTGCATCTATCATATTTTTTTAACGTTTCGTACGGTATGATCAGATATTTTATCGATTTCAAAAACGTTGAAATTCTTTTTGTAGAAATTTTTGTGAACTACAAGATACAATCGGAAAAATCGTGTTTTGTAATTAAAATTAATTGTTTATTGACAGCTAGTAGTTTACCATTTTTGTTTAATGTAGTTTATTCTTAGGACGAATCTACCGAAGGAGGTGATGATGTTCCCGGATTTTCCCCACGCGAATAAACAAGGGGTGTCCTACCTTACTGCGAAAGAGGTTCTACAGTATCTGAATGATTACGCGGATCATTTTAACATAAAACCCAACATAAAGGTAAGCCGACTCTTTTAGATTTATTTTCTTTTGTAATTTCAGTCTAAGTTCAGTTGTAATCTTCTTTTGTTGTTCCCAAGCTAAAAACACTCACAACATCCATAACTAAAATATTAAAACAACCATACATTTCATAGTGGAAATTTGGAAAAATAAAAGGATTTCTATAACTTCCTCAAATATCATGAGAGTATTGTTCAAAATTTTCAATTAAAAATGTGTTTTTAAATTTTTATCTGACCTTTCTCAATCAAAACACATGCGTAACCTAGGGCAGCATCACCCGTTACTTTTTATATAATCTTTAGGTCAATTGGTTTCGCATCCCGAAAAAACTCGCCAAAAATCGATAAGATAATCTTCATTCTTTTCGTAGGATTTTCATTACCACAATTTACAACCTAGTCTTTAGCATTATCTACTTTCCAATCCAATGAATATTTTCGCAAAACCCTAAACCGAATAAACCTCACCACCCCCCTACTATATAACCCCATCAATTGTCATTGCTTGGCAAAACTTTTGAAAAACTCTTAGAACACTAGTATTCCATCATTGGACGCACCTATGTTATTCCATCACATCAATTCGGTTCGGTGACATCGCTCTACCATTCAACAGTGCCGCATGGTAGACATCATCCTATCCTGGGGACGGAATGCTGCTTGGGTGTTTTCTTAGACGTGTGACAAGCCGTCCTTCCATAAACTTATTATCTTACCCAAAAAATCCTATTCGACAGGTACTTTCATGTACGAAACGGAATATCCTTCTGCACTTTTCACTATGCCGAAGTGGATTTTCCGGGTAGCAAAACACTGCAGACATTCCTATAAATCGATACCACCCAGACCCTGGACTTCTGCCTCCAGGACATTCTCTCCTGTTTAGCAAAAATGGTAAAAGAAATTGAAGATCAACGAAACCAACGCCCAGTAAATAAAGACACTTCGCCTTATCACCTTCGTCCAAATTATTACAACTCTCAACACGACACACAAGAATGACACAACTACGCAGAAAACAAACACTTTGAGCCCTGAAGATGATCTCAATAAAGATCGAAACGTTGGCATGATAAAGAAAATATTTTTCTAAAACCTACGTTACACCAGACCGCATCTCACGATCTCCAGTCATTAACTAAACATTTTTTTGTCGTGCCCACGTTTCGACCTTTGTTGAGATCATCTTCAGGGACTGGGATTTATCAACATTGTTTAAATTATACAAATACACGTAAGATGTGAATTTATACAATGCTAGAAATTTTAGACTCAATCAAAATATTTGTACTCATTCAAAGTGTTTGTTTTCTGTGTAAATGTGTCATTATTGGGTGTTGAGGCCCTGAAGATGATCTCAATAAAGATCGAAACGTTGACACAATAAAGAAAATGTTTTTCTAAAACCTACGTCACGCCAGACCGCATTTCACGATCTCCAGTCATTAACTAAACATTTTTTTTATCGTGCCCACGTTTCGACCTTTGTTGAGATCATCTTCAGGGCCTGGGATTTATAAACATTGTTTAAATTATACAAATACACGTAAGATGTGGATTTATACAATGCTAGAAATTTTACACTCAATCAAAGTGTTTGTTTCCTGTGTAAATGTGTCATTATTGGGTGTTGAGGCCCTGAAGATGATCTCAATAAAGATCGAAACGTTGGCACGATAAAGAAAATGTTTTTTTAAAACCTACGTTACACCAGACCGCATCTCACGATATATAATTTTAAACAATAATTACTGAATAAATTATAGATTTTGTGGTACCTCCCCAAATTAGGATTGCACATGTTATCAGTATTGTGCTAATTAAAAATAAACACGGCTCATTAAATTTGGCTAAAGAATATATTTACAATTTTAAATTTCTAACATAATTTTCTCAACTTTTTTACCAAAGCATCAATGCGAAACCTAAATTTAAATTTACTATCAAAACTTATTCAAATAAATATTTAACTTGAATAGAAAATGATTTAAACATATTTATGCAGGAATGTAATACTACATTAATCTACTACATATTTTTAGTTGGTCCTGTTAAACAAACTTTAATTATTATGCAAAGTATGGTCGAGTTGAAAAATTAGTGTTACGAGCGAGTCTCGAACCCACGATCTACGTATCAGTGCCGTGGCGCTTCTACAACTTTTACTGACCCAGAGGTCGTGAGTTCGAGTCCCGTTCGTGACATTTTTTCAACTCAACCATATTTGCGTTATAATTAATATAATTTTCATTATAGACTAAAAGGATTTTTGTTTTAAGTGTTTTTAAAAGTAAAAACCTCTATGTAAACATTTTTTAAACTAATAGTATTCCATCCGTAATATTTTTTAGTACAACATAATTCCTGCCGGAAAAAAGTGTATCAACAGCGAATCCCAATATTTTACCTGAAAGTTTTAGTTTAAAAAAATCTTTAATATAAATTAAAAATAGTACAGGCCTTAAAACACTTCTCTGTGAAACACACAGCTAATATAAGTGGGATAGCTAAAATTGCGGCTTATTTTGGTTATATAAGTTCTATTTAACAAATATGATTAAATAAAATTATAAACTGACTCTTTGATACAATATTTAAAAGAATATCAAGTTAAAACAAAAAGAGCTTTTCACTTTAAACTTTTGCAGTAAACAAAGGCGGTATAAAAAATTATCTAAATAGCAGATGGATTCTGAAAAAACAAAGAGAGAGAAATCGTACGATCTGGGTCGGATAGATTTGCAAAAAATATCTTTTGTTAAATCTCTATAAACTATATTTTTTTGTAAACAATTTTCATAATTGTCGGTCTTGCCTTTTAGTGATAAGGAATTCTCTTTGTATGAAACCGTACAAATATTTAATTTAATTAATTTAGACTAGAAATCTTATCAGTGCTAATTAAATCATTCTCAATGAAGTTGCCTTGTAGTGATCCGATTTTATGATTGTGACGCTATTAAGTTACATAAATTACATTTTAAACAAATAATAGTTTAACCTTTTCGCTTCTACACTAGTTTTTTTTAGTTTTTTTTTTATTTCCGTTATAATTTAACGAAAATTATGGTTTGATCGGGTTAGTTGAGAAATATTGAAATGTGTTCACTAAATTGATCCAATTAACCTACTTTTATAATTAAACGAACTTTCTTCAACTTTCAGTTTCGTCATTACGTGAAGCAAATAAGCCCGCTCGGCTCCCAGTGGAAAATTGAAGTTAAAGACGTCGAGAAAAACACCGAACACGTTTACGTTTTCGACGCAGTTATCATAGCTAATGGGTACGTCACATTTAATCATAAAAAAAGAAGCTAATAAAAATTTATTTCAATGATTTAACGATTCTTGATTTTTTAGGCACAACAGCAAACCACGTTACCCAAGAGTAAACGGATTGGAACATTTCAAAGGGAATCAAGTCCACAGCCACAACTACAGAGATGCCGTTCAGTTCCGAGACCGAAAAGTTCTCATAATCGGCGCTGGTCCGTCCGGCCTCGATTTGACTTTTGAGATCTCGTCCGTAACCGACAACGTGAGTTTTTTCTCTCGAAAGATAACCCTGAAGAATAGCAATTGAATAGTTATAAGATAGATATTTTATATCGAGGAAGATTACATAACCAACAGAATATCTTTCTAGGAAATGATATTGCAAAAAAATTTCTTGAGTGGATTTGGATTTGGTTTTATACAGGGTGTCTTTTATATATGGCCTGGATGAATTTTCTCTTCAGCCAATGACGCTTTCCAAAAAACAAAAAAATACGTGTTTAATATTTTTTAGTCTAGTTTCAAATTTTTACCTTTTTTTGGAAAAAAATTATACATCGTACGTGAACTTCAAAATTTCAAATACGACCCTATATATCCTGGGAGAATCTTTTAAAGGAATTTTTACACTGAAAACAATGGTGTAATCGGATTTTAAATTGGTCAAAAAATGACGGTTTTAGCAAAAAGATTGAAAAAACCGTTTGGTTGTTAATTCCAATTATTTGCTTCTTCCTTAAATTAAATATTAATTGCCTTGATTGTTTACATTGTTTGTAAACTCGCATTATGAGTGCAAATTTAATTCCTGGAAGTAAATCAATTTTTAAAAAAATAATACCTATTCGTTACATTCAGTATTCCATTCAAAATGAACCAAAAAGCACATTTTTCCGATCAACAGTTAAGGGCGTCGGTGGCCGCAAGGTTTAGTCTTTGACACGGCGCTCATCACTGTAAGGTAAAGGTCCCGGGTTCGAATCCAGCGGCCCTGCATTCGAATCCGACATACTTACAAATGGGCTTTTTTTCAAAAACACCGGCAACCTGACGGTTTATATGACCTCTGCTGTTGCGAACCCTCGTTAAAAAAAAAAATTAAAAAAAAAACAGCGAGTTGATGTGTACGACTGGTTTATTGATAATCGTGCGGACGAATTGTATTCCCAGAAATTTCCTGATCGCCCAAGAATAAACCAGAAAACTCTTTAAATTCACTAATTTCGTGGTCCGCTTGACCAATTAAATCATTACAATTAATTAAGGTTTTTAGTTGAGATGAAAAAAAGTCAATGACACGAGCGGGATTCGAACCCACGATCTTCGGCTTGATACGCCGCTGCTCTACCACCTGAGCTATCGTGACCTCATCTCAACTAAAAACCTTAATTAATTGTCCTGTATTAATTGATCAAGCGGACCACGAAAATAGTGAATTAATGATTTAAAAATGAAGTACACTTCACTAAAGCTCTCCGTCGCCATTTCAATTGTCGTCGAGAATCCAAACCGATTAAACGAAATTTGAAAAATGGCAAAAAGGAGGGAAAACTCATAAGGTGGGGTTGAGATGGGGAGTTGATGTCCGAGTGGATCGACGTCACGATAGCTCAGGTGGTAGAGCAGCGGCGTATCTAGCCGTAAGGTCGTGGGTTCGAATCCCTCTCGTGCCATTAACTTTTTTTCATCTCAACTAAAAACCTTAATTATTTTCAGTGTAAAAAATCTTTTAAAATGACGTGTCAGTATGTGTAGGGTCGTGTTTGAAATTATGAACTGGGCCTGAAGTCATTCCACCCTGTATAATTTTTCTCCAAAAAAGTAAAAATTTGAAACTAGACTAAAAAATATTAAACTCTTATTTTTACTGTTTCAAGAGAAATTCAGCCAGGCCATCTAAAAAGGACACCCTGCGTCTTTGTGTGTTTGTCCCTCTATATGTTATTTATTGGAACAATTGTATTTATTAGCGAGAATGAAGTAGCATCCCCGAGGAATATCGAGGGCTCGAATAAATGAGTTCTGTGTTGCTTGTCTGTTTATATTGGCTTGAAAGAAATTGATGAAAGAGAAATAGTTTTTATTTATATCAGTTTACTGAGTTAATTTAATAGCGTACAAGAATGGACCCCGAGGAATAGTGATAGGGGCATTATGAGTGTGGTCTGGTGTGAATGGATGTAATTTATTAGCGTAAAAGTGGTGCTCCTTCCCCAGATAACCCGAGGTACACCTAATACTTCAAGCCAATATGAATGCTAACCAGACTTTTTTATTTTATTGTCTATTACAACTACAATTAAGTGTAGAAAGCAATAGTGAAAAAAAAGTAAACCAAACAAAACAGTAAAATTAGAATGGAGCAGCTGGTAGCATTCCACCCTACATTTCATTTAACATTTACTGTCTTCACCAAACAAATGCCTCTTCAGCTTCAGAAGGTTTGAGGGGATTCTGTGTCAGAGCTGTTGGATGAGTGGGTTAGTATTGACTGGGAGTGATTTATGAAACTTTTATCTGTCGCGTACACTCGGTACTAGACAATGCGTCATAATGGGCACGTTCTATGGACCCACCGATAAGTTTTACTTAGTCAGTAGTCTGATGGTAGTCAGGGAATGTTGAGATTAAACCTCCTTAAAATGCTTTTTCCGCCATTGTAAGGAACCCAGAAATGGTAGAGAACCAATTACAGATTATTCTTTCAATTCAATGAACTGTGTGGTGTTTAGTGACCGTAAGCCGACGATTATTTGGAGATCATGAGGTCTGGAGTGGCGTAGGTTTTAGAAAAACATTTTTTTTATATGCCAACGTTTCGATCTTTATTGAGATCATCTTCAGGGCTCAAAGTGTTTGTTTTCCGTGTAGATGTGTCAGTTTGTGTGGGGTGTTGAGAGGGCCCACTACACTCAATAGTGACACGGAAAACAAACACTTTGAACCCTGAAGATGATCTCAATAAAGATCGAAACGTTGGCATGATAAAGAAAATGTTTTTTTCTACCGCACCTCATGATCTCCAAATAATCAATGCATACTTTTTTCAAGAAATAAATTCTAAAAATCTTCGTTTTGTTCAGTCTGATGTCTATTTAAGCTTAACGTTCGTAAACGTTAATACAAGAAGAGCTTTACAATATCACCCAACTTACATGCAAATACTGATAATATTGGTAAAATCAAGATTAAGATAAAATTCACTAGTTTTCGTGATTTGGCTTTATCAATTAATTAAGTTTTTTAATTGAGATAAAAAAGTCAGTGTCACGAGAGGGATTCGAACCCACGACCTTCGGCTGAACTACCACTTGAGCTATTGTGACCTCGATCCGCTCGGACACTAACATCCCATCTCAACCACACCTTTTGAATTTTCCTTACTTTTTTATCTCAAAGAGATTTTTTGTACACCATCGAAAAAACACAAGCGATCGAACAACTCAAGAAGGATCCTTGAAGAAGGATCTTGTACGATTCAATTTGTTGCATGGGAAATCTGAGGAAACATAAATGCATATTTTATAACGATGTTGATAAAACATATTAACAAGTTTTGACTCAATAATTGATAAATTTCTAGATCGTATTAAGCCATCACACAGACTACGCTGCGAAAGTCGGCTTCCCATCTAAAGTCGTCCTGAAGCCCGACATCAACAGGATAAACAGAGACGGTAGAGTTCTATTCAAAGACGGAACTGCCATGGATTTCGACGATATCGTTTTTGCAACGGGTAATAATTATTATCAACCCTTGAATAATGGACTAATGTATCTCTATTAAAACTTTCTACAGATTTATTACCACCTTGGTAATTACGCTTGAAGTTCTCCTTATGAATATTTACGTTTCTTTTAAAGACCAACCCTTTCAGCCCCTCCCCCTCGGCAACATAGAAACAAATCTTAAGTAAGAAATTAAACATTTCCTGGTCAATTTTTACAGGATATTTGTACACGTATCCGTTCCTGTCGAAAGAATGTGGAATCGAAGTGGAAGACAATTACGTCTCCCCCTTGTACAAGAGCATCATCAATATCAACCACCCGACGATGGGTATGTTGGCCGTTTTAAAGCACACTCCTACATTTTACATGGTCGATATACAGGTGAGACAAATTATTTCATTTTATAATACATTCATTAAATTGCGAATTTTTTCTTGTGAGGATGAATCTGTTTGGTGGGTTCCGATCATTACGGCCCGCTATTTCTCGCTGTTTTGTTTCATTCAGACCAGCTTCTCACTATCTTCAGTGGTGGGTTGATCGACTAAACCAAACCATATATTTAATTAATTCAAAAAATTTCGATAATCAGATTTTTTCACGTATTTATAGCAACAAATACAACATAGTCATCCATAGTTTCAAATTAATTAATGAATTAATACATGTTAATATGCTAAAAATTTAATGCTGTAACAATCTTGATTTGTACGTTTTATGGTAAGTTTTATAATATGAACTGTGTGGGGCGTCGGTGGCCGCAATGGTTTAGGCGTTGACACGGCGCTCATCACTGTAAGGTAAAGGTCCCGGGTTCGAATCCAGCGGCCCTGCATTCCAACCCGACATACTTACAAATGGGCTTTTTTTCAAAAACACCGGCACCCTGAGGGTTTATATGACCTCTGCTGTTGCGAACCCTAGTAAACAAACAAAAAAATATGAACTGTGCAATTTAAGACAATTAATTAAGGTTTTTAGTTGAGATAAAAAAGTCAATGGGACGAGCGGGATTCGAACCCACGATCTTCGTCTTGATACGCCGCTGCTCTACCACTTGAGCTATCGTGACCTCGATTCAAAAGGTGGGGTTGAGATGGGAAGTTGATGTCCGAGTGGATCGAGGTCACGCTAGCTCAAGTGGTAGAGCAGTGGCGTATCTAGCCGAAGATCGTGGGTTCGAATCCCGCTCGTGCCATTGACTTTTTTATCTCAACTAAAAACCTTAATTAATTGTCCTATATTAATTGGTCAAGCGGACCACAAAATTAGTGAATTTGTGAAATTTAATATGAACAGATATCAGTCTCGATGACTGTCAGAGTTCTGATAGACCGGGTACTCAAATTTTCATTGTCTATAAAATATCACTTACCATTTTTAAAAAAACTGTAATATATGGATTAACCAAAAGAACATAACTTTTGACGAAATGTATCGACCATGTTTTTTTTTTTCACGAATAATCCGGCTCTTGGTATGGTCTGGATGAAGAAATAAATTCAGTTGTTCCTTCCAAGCTTTCGACCTACTTTAAGGTCATCATCAGAGCAAAACAATCTTAAATATGTTTACATTGATATAATCAAGCCCTTGGCAATGTTAGGACTGAGTTTTCATAGAAATTTGAAACCATCTATTAAAAACTTAATTATCTCAATGTTTATACAAATTTAAGATTGTTTTGCTCTGATGATGACCTTAAAGTACGTCAAAAGCTTCGCTGTAACAACTGGATTTGTTTCTTCGTTGAGACCATACCTAGAACCAAATTATTCGTTCCAAAAAGCCAGAAGGTTTACGAATTGCACAAAACCTTATAAATATGTAATATAATATAAAAATATATATTATTTATGGTTTGTACTTTGTAAAGTATGATATGGTTTTCAATATTACATGCAACTGGTAATAAACATTTAAAACATATNAATAAATAATAAACTATATAATATAAAATCATCTATAGATTAATTTGGAAAATTTTGTTTAACAATAGTACTTTATCCATTTCCCAGCAAGTCTGAATTAATATCAAGGACAGATTTCTAATCCGGAAAAAATTGGATCCAAGAAAACGTTCATAAAGGAAAAATCCATATGTGTAATCTCTTATTAGTGACAGTAAAAAATTAGTGTATCTCAATGTCAAAGGCGACATCACAGATTAAATGAGGTCAATAATTTTTGCCTTTATCATCTTGGTTTAAAGATAAATTTTAATTTTTTTTTTCTAATCGTGGATGCCCTTCTTTAATTCATAATTTCAAGGAATTTTAACATATGTTCTCTTTATAAATATTCGGTATTTTACAGAGGATTGATTAAACCTTTGTAAGTTTCAATATTAGATAAGGTGGCGGTAACGGTCTTATCATCATCCGAGGTGCGAATTTTTCAATAAAGTTCAGGACTACTGAGATTTGAACTCAAAAATCATTCCAAATATATTTTTACAGAAGACTGTTGTCTACCTAGTTCAATTACAAAAGTAGATCATATGATTTTTTTTTAATATTAAATTTATGATTTATAGATTGATAGAGAAATATATTGTTTAATTTCAGAATTATACAGTTTAATATGGCAGAGCTTGTAACCATGTAATGTATGACATAAGTAATGTTTGACAACTTTAAATTTTAGGTAAGGTTTTTTATCAAGTGTCTTCTCCATCCGGAGCTTTTGCCAAATAAAAAACAAATGCTCGCTGAGCTGAAAGCTTTCGAAGAGAGAAAAATAATGGAAGGAGTTCGTAAATGTGACTTTCACATGCTTGGCGAAGACAATCAACTTTACATGGACGACCTGTTTAAAATCGCCGGCATACCCCCGATACCCCCGATACTCCTCAGGATGTACTTTCATGGATACAACGCGATATTTTCCGATTTCAAGTCCTTCCGTCACAACTTCTACCATATCATCGATCAGGAGAATTTCACCGTGGTCGATCTTAGGGAAATTATGACGCAACCCCTTGAAAAACTTCACTCCAACCCGTCTGCTTGTTGCGGAACTCTAGTACCAAAACACAACGCATAGAGTGGAATAGTAATACTTAGACTGTCAAATAATATAACTAGCTTCAAGCAAAATTTGTACAAATTTATTGGTATTAATGAGATAAGAGAGTGAGAGCGAGAAAAAATGTGTGAGTGAGAGATGATAATATGCTTTATTTAATCATGCTTTTTACCACTTAATGTGGAGATCAAGTGTGTGTTTTTTATTCAAAATGACAGTTTGCATTGTAATATATTTAATGTGATGTAATTAAAAATTAATGTTTTACATGTAATCTTTTACTTGAAAATCTCCAAAATTTATGTTTTAAAAATGAACACAATTAAAACGGCTGAATAGTTTTGATTGTTTCAACAGCTAACTAGTTTGTACGTAACTTTACTTTATTATTTAAAACTACTTTAATTTATGGATTGTAAATCAATTATGTCAACTTAAAATGTAAAGAATAAAATAAATATTATTTTTTTATTATTACAGGATGTTTTGTGTTTTCTTCAACTGAGCATGTGACTCTGCATTAATTCCTTTCCGTGTTTAAAAAGGGTGGAAGGGGACACAGGTTAGGAATACATTAAATGTTGGATTAAGTGTTATGAAGGGATTAAAGCAAACGTGCTCTGGGGATAACTGACAATTTACCGTGGGCATTTACAAATGTTATCTTTTTCTAAAAGATTCAACCAAAAATTACAAATGTACGGCTCATAAACTTGGTTTGGATAATACATTATTAAATGTGTCCTTAAAATTGATTAAAATTTGCAGGGAGAAATATTAAATACTGATTTTAAAAAATTCTCCCTTAATTTTGATCTATTGAGTATGTTGTGTCTATGAAATTCATATTAATACTATTTTTAACCAATTAGGTTAAATATTTGAAAACAAAAAAACGCCTTATTTTTTTTGAGGAATAATATTTAAAATATGTAGTTAATTATAATAATTTAATTTTAATTGTAAATTGTACAAATGTACATACAAAAATGTAATATTCAAGAGAGTTCAAGAGAGTTCAAGAGATTTCTGTGTGAAATGATAACGTTACTCACGTGCAGAAAAAGTGGCCTGTACAGGCTAGAGGAAATCCCAAATTTGCCCAGAAATTCAGGGCAAAATTTACACCAAAGCTGTACTCCCATTTTGCTGTCAGTAAAATAAAGAATTCAGTGGCCTGAGTGAAGAGTGGGATTTCTTACAAAGAAAGTAGCTTCGGTTATTGTTTGGAGGATTGGATCCTGTTAAAGTTGGGTTTTTAGCCATCCTGTTACAGTTCCACTCCAAAAGTCTACAAAGGAGCTAAAATAGTTGTATAAAGGTTTTTTTTTAAGTCTTGGACATTAAAAACGTTTTAAGTTATGTTTCTGGATTCCAAGTTAACCTTTTTGCCTATTAATTCACTACTTTCGTGGTCCGCTTGACCAATTAATACATGACAATTAATTAAGGTTTTTAGTTGAGATGAAAAAAAGTTAATGGCACGAGCGGGATTCGAACCCACTTTCTTCGGCTAGATACGCCGCTGCTCTACCACCTGAGCTATCGTGACCTCCTGATCGATGCCATGAAAAATGGCAAAAGGAGGGAAAACTCATAAGGTGGGGTTGAGATGGGGAGTTGATTTCCGAGGATCGAGGTCATGATAGCTCAGGTGGTAGAGCAGTGGCGTATCTAGCCGAAGGTCGTGGGTTCGAATCCCTCTCGTGCCATTAACTTTTTTTCGTCTCAACTAAAAACCTTAATTAATTGTCTTTTTGTCTATGTTCAGTATCAAGTATTTGACCCGTTCTCCCATGAAATTACATAATCTCCATTTAGTTTATGTTTGTAAGGTCTTGGAGGGATTGAACTGCTAGGTTAGGATATTAGAGTATTGAGGTCTGTTTTACATTAGAGTAACGGACCTGGAAGCTCCCTTGAGGAATACCAGAGAAGTTAGAATTGTTTAGAGATCAAGGTAGGATGTTATGATGAGCTAGTACGTACTAGAAAGAAATTTTGGTTAGGAGTAGCTTCACAAGTACTTTCCCAAGCATAATGCACGCTCGCCATGTATAAAACCATAGTTCTTGGGTCATCTTTGGGAAATTTTACTGATAGTAAGGATCGACTTTGAAGAGAGAATTTCTGTAACATCATCAATATAAATGTGAGTGTGTTAGAGTGTTGAGGCCTGTTTTGTATTGAAAAATAATGGACCTAAGAGGCAATACTGGAGAGGTTAGAATGGGTTAGAGATTGAGGTAGGATGTTAGGATGAGCTAGTATGTACTAGAAAGAAATCTATTTTGATTATGAGTAGCTTCTCAAGTACTTTCCAAAGGATAACACTCATACTCCTATGTATGGAAACAGGGCTCTAAGGTAGTCATAAGGAAATTTAACTGCTAGTACAGGATCGACTTTGAACAAAGGATTGCAACAGCAAATGCAAGTGTGAGTGTTGAGTATGTTGATAAAAGGAACGGACCTAAGGGGCTTCCTTGAGGAACACCAGAGAGGATAGAATGGATGAGAGAGGTTGAGGTAGGATGAGATAGTACGTACTAGAATGGAAAGATCTGAGTTTCCACAGTTGACCATGGTGCCAGACTTGATCGAATGTCTGGAAGATGTTTAGTAAGACTCTAGGGCAGAATAGATGCCAGATTAGTTCACGAATACTGTTGGTTGAGGATAGGAGTAGTCTCAAGTGACAGCCATGATTTTTAGAACAAGGAAATGAACGTGTGGTTTGAATAATGGAATACATTTTCTCACAAAATCTATTATTCACAATAACAGCTGGGTTTTTTTTTATATATAATTTACTTGTATTTATTTACGCTTACATCTTTCATTACAGTAAGTAAATTATATAAGTCATTGGCTAACATGATGGGAGAAACCTCCAACTGGTGACACATCCTCACAATCTAGGGTAAACACAAAATTCTCAATTAAAATTTTAACATATGTGTATCGTATGTTCCACATTTTGTGTACAATTCTTGTGTGCCTTTTGGTCACATTTATTATTACTCTCTTCTCCGTCTTTCTTTTCATTGATTTCTCGCCCTTGGGAATTTTGGTTTAATTCAATAGTATTACTTTCATGTGCATCCACCGTAGGGTTAACAACGACGAAATTTTCATCATCAATAAATTTGTAAACAGACTTTCTGTAAAATTCGAAATCCCTAATGGCATTTTGAACTGCGTCGAAAAACGCTTTTATTAATACTGTTGGGACCGGATCCAGTTGTCCAAGTTCTGCGAGTTGCTTGAAAAATTCAAACACTTCCTCCTGCGATTTAATCCTGTGGAAATACTTCTTAGGGAGATTTTCACATTTAATTCTCATTTGGTCTTCTACTTCCTTCTCCATATTCATTTTTTCACACAATTGCACTTCACCTTTGAGAATTTTTATAAATGTCCGAATCTAAAATTAATAAACAAATTTTGTTAGTATGTTTAATTATTATTTCTTTAATGTATAACCTTAATTACATCAATAAAAAAATAAAATAATTCCTGTTATTTTGGAGGGCCTTTAACATTAAACTAGCCATTGGATGTTACAGACAAAGAGCCAGAACGACTTTACAAAAAAATTAATTTTTTAAAACATATTTTGGTTGTTTTGTTTATACTTCCTGTCCAAGTGCCATGCAGAACAACCATGTTTGCTGATTCTTTGGACCCTTTCTTGCAACTGTTATGCTAACGGTTCTGGGTAAGAATCCTAGCAGAGCCCAATGCTTTTTAACTGACAATGGTAGACAGGAATTACTTTACTTAGTTTTTCTCAATTTATTATCAATTAAAATTCCATACTTGGATTCAAACGCAGAACCAATAGCAAATACAACCAACCATAAGTAAATGAATTCCTGCCATACAGGACTACACATTCACGCTAATAAATACCTTCACTCTCACAACACACACTAGCAACATAATAATTATTATATATATTTTTAAAAATATGTTTCCTCCAAGAATTTGGAACAGTGGACCAGATACTGTCATGCTCGAGCATAATTCTCATATCGGGTGGCATTCCTACACGCTCTCTATATGGAACTGCACCCTTCAATTAGGTAGGGTATCAAACAACTTTTCATTACATGCCAGATACACAGCCTTTGGCCCAAATTTGTCAGCCTTGCATGGCCTATTCTTAATCAGGTGAGGATGGCCATTCTATGAATCGTTTCCTCTGAAGGCTCCCTTTTGATATGTAAGAGCTTCTCTGTTGACCGTTTCCTTCCTTTTCGTTTTATTTTATTTATTTATTTTTAATTTCCTTTTAATCACGTTTTTTATTGCATTTTTAGCATCAAGGGGCCAGATAACAGTGGTTAAATTTGCAACACCAGAATTCATATGAACGAATTCCCCGGGATGCTCGTGTTTAAAAAAAAAAGTCAGGTTAGAATGCAAATGAGCATTTTTGATAAATTAAAATTGAGTTTTGTTGGAAAACTTTGTTTTTATCAATGGGTTTAGTCTTATTAAGTTTTTTTTTTAATGTTGGTTGACTAGAGTGTAGTTTTGTAGCTATACGTTACTAAATACATCAGTAATTTATATAGTCCAAAGGTCTCATGACTTTTGTTGGTTAGTAGTTAGTGTATGCCATGCATTTTATTCTATTTAATTCCTGTTTGAATTTTATAATTTAAGTGGTGTAATTAAGCAGAATTACATAAAAGTAAAAAAAGAAATTTCTACTACACCCGACCAACAGAATTAAGTACATTTTGGTTCAGGGGAGTGCCACAGAGTAATGCCAGTCAAATCGCTTGTTTTACATTTTACAAATTTTATAAATATGTTTATACATATTGAAACAAGAACTGATTGTAGCAATTGAAGCTAGAATAATTTTCCTACTGAATTACAGTATTGTCAACTTTCTCTCAGCCATGGGCTATTGTCCAGAATTAAGTTCGGCAATACCCTGTTCTCCCCTACAGTACAAGTCTTCCTAGTTAGCTAAATACTGGAAACTGCAGAGTATAAATTCAGATAGAAACAAGATCAGACACATATTGCAAAGAAAAGAATAAACACAAGATGTCCTTTGTTGGTACAGGTTGAGATTCCTACTCCTGAGAACCTATCACAAATCTGGAACACGTGATACAGGAGCTTTGAGATCTGTTAAAAAGCCACAAGCTCTAAATAATACGGAAATTGCATAATAGACCAACATTGCTCACAGCACATCGTAATAATTTCTAACCTTAAGTTTCAATTAATTAAGGTTTTTAGTCGAGATGAAAAAAAGTTAATGGCACGAGAGGGATTCGAACCCACGACCTTCGGCTAGATACGCCGCTGCTCTACCACCTGAGCTATCGTGACCTCGATCCAGAGTGGAGTTGATGTCCGAGTGGATCGAGGTCACGATAGCTCAGGTGGTATAGCAACGGCGTATCTAGCCAAAGGTCGTGGGTTCGAATCCCTCTCGTGCCATTAACTTTTTTTCATCTCGACTAAAAACCTTAATTAATTGTAATGATTTAATTGGTCAAGCGGACCACGAAATTAGTGAATCTAACCTTAAGTTTAACCTAAATATTCAAATGAATGTTACTTAAGAATCAAATGTATTTGAGATGATTACCTGATAGTCGACCATATAATGATGAGGAACAGGTCTTGGAATTCCAAAAAGTCCCATTGTAGGATGTTCAATGTTTATAAAGTGTAGATATAATGGATATACACACTGGTCAACAGTAATACCACAATCCTTGGTCAAAAATGGATAATGGTAAGTATATCCTAAAAACATTTTGTTATAATGTAAATTTTTTTTCAGATTTGTAAGTTTAGCATTATTTTATTCTTGTTATTGAAAAAAATGAAACCTGTGCAGTAGATAATAACATCAACATCTTCTGTCGTTCCATCGACAAATGTAATCGTTTTATCTTCTAAAAACTCTACTTCAGGTTTAAGAGTTACTCCTTTGATTTCCTTCATTTTCACTGGGCTTTCTTTTTTGTTTTTTACCGGCTGATCTTTATTTTTGCTCCCTTTATTGTGGCTCACAATTATCTGAAAAGCAACTAAATTATGTAGGAAATACAAAAATAATTAACTAAATTTCACTTTTATATTTTACTTTTTCTACATGTCCGATAAGTTTATATGCAATATCGATGCCTGATGGCCCAAGTCCTATTATCAGGACTCGTTTTCCAGTGAACGCTGATGCGCGCCTGAATTCCTTTGAGTGTAACTGTCTTCCAGAAAATTTTGCAAATCCCTCTAACTTCGGATAAACAGGAATTATATTTGACCTAAAAAAATAAATAAATAAATAAATAAACGAATCTTGTTTTGAATTAAAATTGATCAAAATGAGAATGACTGAAACTTAAATGAGTATAGTTACCCAGAACAAACCATCACAGCATCATAGGTACTAACATGTTCTACGTTGGTGACAAGATCGACTACAGAAACACTCCAACTCTTTCCTAAAGGAGCAACGCATTTGACTAGGTGATTCAACTGTTAAAAGAAAAATTTCTTCTAAATAAAATAACTTATTGAAAAACATAGCTGAAGATAGTTGCAATGGCTTTTGACCATAAGGGTGCGCAGATGACGTTGGCATAATTATCAGAAATAAATTTGTTCAAGCTCTGGTCAAATTATTGCAAACAGGCTTAAACTTAAAATCGAAATTGGGCTAGGAAAAGAGTCAAAATATAAATCCCTTAAAAAGCAACAAAAGTGCCATTCGTGAATAAAACGAAGTTAAATTTTACAGCTCTATCCCTGCAAAACTAAGAAATAAAAAGCATTATGAAGAAGTGATATACCTAGGAGCACATAAGTACTTCAGTTAATACACACATTAAAAGAACCCATGACAGGGTGCTAAAGTCATAATGGATATGATGATGACTTTGAGGTAGACCTTGGATCCTAAATTGCACTTACAGACACGGACATTACATGATCATGTATACAATAACATATAGTGATCAAACATAGAAGAAAGAAAGGCAGAGGAATTGCTAGAAATACCCCAACGAATAGCATGTCTTAGAATCACTGGTGCTCTTAAAATAATAGGAAAAATTGAGAATTCATCGGACAACAGAAAAAAATACATTAAATAAATGCAGGCCATACCGAAATTTCTGTCAATGTTGAAAAAGTGGTTAAAAAATCTTTGAATTATCAGGAAAAAATTCTAGACTTTGAAAAATATATAAATGAAGTGAGTGCTCAATGTAAAGACAAAATAAAAACCTCTTTTTTTGGTATAGATTGCTCAAAAATGCAATATGTTTACAACATAAGACCCAACACAACCATCTTTCAAGCCGATTTTGCTAGCCGTGAAACATATGTACATGAAATAATAACTAACATCTCAATAATAATATTATGAGGTAGCCAGGCAGCTCTAATAGCCCTCCTCCAAGCCTTCAAGAACAAATCTAATGCCTATCTTTAACTGCTTGAATATAAAAAAAAAATTGGAAACTACAAATAGGTAAGGAAGGAATTACAGGCAATGATGTAGCAAATGTGCTTGATAAAAAAAGAAGCCTCGCAACAATACTTGTATAGCCACATTAAAAATAAATAGGAGGACATAATAAATACAGGGAAAAAACAAGGCATGAGTCTCAAAACAACAAGCCAGTGAAAACAAGAGGAAATCCAACTCAAAGAAAACTTACATGCTCTATATAATACACTTTAAAAAATAATGGGAAGTTTGTAACAAAAGGAACAAGTAACAAATATAAAAAATTCTGAAATCGTCAAAAGCGCGAAAGACAAATTGGCTGATATGACTTTTTTTTCTATTTTGCCCTGTTATAAATATTTTATGTCTATTATATGATCTATTCATTTTGAATAGGCTGACTAAACAGGTTATAACAAAAGTACAGAATAACAAATGCATAAAGTGCAGAAATTGTGAAAAGCGCAAAAGCAAAAATTGGGCAGTTTGGCCTTTTTTTGTGCCCTTTTATGCTGTTATTGACATTTTATGTCTACTATATGATCTATTCATTTGGAATAGGCTGAATAACTATAACAAAAGAAACAAATAACAAATGTCAAAAGTGCTGAAATGGTTAAAAGCGCAAAACCCTAAACTACACGATTTGCCACTTTTTTGCCATTTTCCAATTGACATTATATGACTATTATATGATCTCTTTGCTTGGAATAGCCTGAATATCCATTTTATAACCAAAGAATTGAATAACAAATTTAAAAAGTAGTGAAATTGTCAAAAGTGCAATATCCAAAACTAGGTGATTTGCCACTTTTTTTTCCATTTTCCAATGTTATAGACATTATATGACTATTATATGATCTCTTCACTTGGAATAGGCTGTATAACCAGTTTATAACAAAAGAACAGAATAACAAATGCATAAAGTGCAGAAATTGTCAAAAGCGCAAAAGCAAAAATTCGGCGGTTTGGCCTTTTTTTGTGCCCTTTTGCGTTGTTTTAGATATTTTATGTCTACTATATGATCTAATCATTTGGGATAAGCAGAATAAATAGTGCATAAGAAAAGAAACGAATAACAAATGTAAATAGTGCAGAAATTGTCAAAAGCGCGAAATCCAAAACTAGGCGATTTGCCACTTTTTTTGCCATTTTCTACTGTTATAGATTTATTTCTGTCTATTATACGATCTATTCATTTTGAATAGGCTGAATAAACAGGTTATAACAAAAGAACAGAATAACAAATATATAAAGTGCAGAAATTGTCAAAAGCGCAAAAGCAAAAATTCGGTGGTTTGTGCTGTTTTAGATATTTTATGTCTACTATATGATCTAATCATTTGGGATAAGCAGAATAAATAGTACATCAGAAATAACAAATGTAAAAGTGCAGAAATTGTCAAAAGCACGAAATCCAAAACTAGGCGATTTGCCACTTTTTTTGCCATTTTCTACTGTTATAGATTTATTTACGTCTATTATACGATCTATTCATTTTGAATAGCCTGAATAAACAGGTTATAACAAAGAACAGAATAACAAATGCAAAAAGTGCAGAAATTGTCAAAAGCGCAAAAGCAAAAATTCGGCGGTTTGGTCTTTTTTTGTGCCCTTTTACACTGTTATAGACATTTTATGTCTACTATATGATCTATTTGTTTGGAATAAGCAGAATAAATAGTGCATAACAAAAGAAACTAATAACAAATGTTAAAAAGTGCTGAAATTGTCGAAAGTCAAAATTGGGCAATATGTTTTTTTTTTTTTTGCCACTTTCCATTTTCATAGATATTTTATATCTATTATATGTTCCATGCATTTTGAATAACCAGAATAAACAGTTTATAGCAAAAGAAAAGAATAACAAGTGTAAAAAATTATGAAATTGTCAACAACGTAAAATCCAAAACTGGTCGATTTGCCACTTTTTTTGCTATTTTCTACTGTTATAGATTTATTTATGTCTATTATATGATCTATTCATTTTGAATAGCCTGAATAACCAGTTTATAACAAAAGAAACAAATAACAAATGTCAAAAGTGCTGAAATGGTTAAAAGCAAAAACCCTAAACTACACGATTTGCCACTTTTTTGCCATTTTCCAATGTTATAGACATTTTATGTCTATTACACGATCTATTCATTTTGAATAGCCTGAATAACCAGTTTATAACAAAAGAAATTAATAAAAAATGTAGAAAGTGCTGAAATGGTTAAAAGCGCAAAACCCTAAACTACATGATTTGCCACGTTTTTGCCATTTTCCAATATTATAGACATTTTATTACTAGTACATGATCTCTTCTCTTAAAATAGCCTGAATATCCAGTTTATAACCAAAGAATCAAATAACAAATTTGAAAAGTACTGAAATTGTCAAAAGCGCAATATCCAAAACTAGGCGATTTGCCACTTTTTTTTGCCATTTTCTACTGTTATAGATTTATTTATGTCTACTATATGATTTATTCATTTTGAATAGCTTTCACAATCAGTTTATAACAAAAGAAATGAATAAAAAATGATAAAAATGCTGAAATTGTCAAAACCCTTTATTGGGCGATTTGCCCCTTTTTTTAAATTGAAAAATAATAATAAATTTAATGTAAGGGGAAAATTAGTTGGATCTATATAAAAAGAGTCTAATCTTATACTGCCATCAATTTATACAACAGTATTTTTTGACATGTAAATTTTCTTTCTTGGATCGGTAAATTTAGAGTGTCTTACATTGTCAGTATTTATTGAAGATCTACAGCTATAAAAATGTATTAAATTTTAATCACCTTAACATGTTGACTAAGGTTGAAATTTTCAGCGTAGTCATGGAGGTATTGAAGAACTTCAGAAGAATGAAGGTAAGATTTCTCGTTTTCTCTATACTTAAAGTCAGGAAATGCCATAACTTCCTTGGGTAAATTAGTCCTAGAAAAAAAATTTTAAGAGCTTAAATTTTACAGGTTTACAACTGCCAAAGTTTATAGTTCAACGTGCAACAAATGATCAAATATTTTACTGAACAAAAACTCAATTTTTGCTGTCACTAGGTTGTACTGTTATAAAAGGAGATGATTTCTTACTGTAATCCAATGCTTACCATAAATCATGGTAAAGATTTGAATGTATCGGTATGCCAAATTTGTCTTTCCCTGTTTCATCTGTGTACACCCACGTTCCACCAATGTTAGAACTTTGTTCGAAAACGACTCCAGTCATCCCAGATCCTTCTGAACAGACATGCCTGGCTGCACAGAGACCTGTGAAGCCAGCTCCTATGATAGCGACCTTGGTCTTTTTCCTCGATGAGAAAATACACCCATTGGAGGTGAGTTCTGCACCAGCAGTTCTGAAAAAAAATATTTTGAAGTGTTGGCTATATTTTTTCCCCCATTTTGGAACTTTATCTCAAATTTGCAATATCTCCATATTGCAATTTGAATTTAATAAAAAAAAATTTTAAATAAATTAAAACGTGACTTTTAATTTTTTATGTGGGTAAAGATCTATAAAAATAAGTTTCATTGTGGATTATTTGTAGTAACATATTTTTATTAAGCCTTATTAATATAATTAATTGCATTTTAATTTTAAAAATGACACTATCTCAACTTTTTTTTAAAAACATTGCTTTCTATTCTTTTTTTATGCTTAAAACATTATAAAAAGAAGGCAAAATTAGTATAATCTTTTTATTCCAAAAATATTGATTTGTAAACCTATCAACAATGAAAATTGACTTTCAACTTGTCTCCTATGGCAAAAAAACCATAATAAGAAGGTAAGAATGACATGGTTCCTTTTTAGACAAAAAAAGGCTTTTAACCCTTTTCCTAAATAGCAATAAAAAAAGCCAAAAAATGAAGCATTCCCATCTTAGCAAAAAACAATGTCTTTTAACCCTTTCGTAATGGGAAAAGAAAGATAAAAAAAAGGAAACAGATTTGGGTAGTAATCATTATTTAAACATTAGGTAAAGCATTACAAGCCATTTTTTTTTTTTTTTTTTCAAAAAAGGAACCCTGTCATTCTTACCTTCTTGTTATCATTTTTTTGCAATAGGAGGCAAGTTGAAAGTCGATTTTCATTGGAGATAGTTTTACAAATCAATGTTTTTGTGATAAAAGAATTATAATAATTTTACCACCTTTTTATAATTTTTTACTCTTACAAAAGTGTTAAAAGCAACGTTTTTTAAGATGAGATAGTGCCATTATTTTTATAACTTTTTTTTTTTTTAATGCAGGTCTAATAAAAATATCTTGCTACACATAACCCACAATGAAAGTAAAACGAAAAAAAATCTGATCTGGATATTGAAACAACTGAATCTTTTTTTGCCATAGTTGACAAGTTGAAAATCAATTTCCATTGTGGATAGGTTTACAAATTAATGTTTTTGGAATGAAAGGATTAAACTAATTTTGCCTTCTTTTTATAATCTTTTACCCAAAAGAAAAGAATTTAAAGCAACTTTTTTTTTAAAGATGAGATAGTGTCATTATTTTTATAACTTTTTCTTTTTTTTAATGCAGATCTAATAAAAATATCTTACTGCACATAATCCACAATGAAAGTAAAACGAAAAAAATATGGTTTGGATATTGAAACAACTGAACTTTTTTTGCCATAGGAGACAAATTGAAAGTCAATTTTCATTGGAGATAGTTTTACAAATCAATGTTTTTGTGATAAAAGAATTATAATAATTTTACCATCTTTTTATAATTTCTTACCCTTAAAAAAAGAGTTAAAAGCAACGTTTTTTTAAGATGAGATAGTGCCATTATTTTTATAAGGTTTTTTTTTTTTTAATGCAGGTCTAATAAAAATATCTTAGTACACATAATCCACAATGGAAGTGAAATGAAAAAAATATGGTCTGGATATTAAAACAACTGAACTTTTTTTGCCATAGGAGACAAATTGAAAGTCAATTTTCATTGGAGATAGTTTTATAAATCAATGTTTTTGTGATAAAAGAATTATAATAATTTTACCATCTTTTTATAATTTTTTACCCTTAAAAAAAGAGTTAAAAGCAACGTTTTTTTAAGATGAGATAGTGCCATTATTTTTATAAGGTTTTTTTTTTAATGCAGGTCTAATAAAAATATCCGAGTACACATAATCCACAATGGAAGTGAAATGAAAAAAATATGGTCTGGATATTGAAACAATTGAACTTTTTTTGCCATAGGAGACAAGTTGAAAGTCAATTTCCTTTGTGGATAGGTTTACAAATTAATGTTTTTGGAATGAAAGGATTAAACTAATTTTGCCTTCTTTTTATAATCTTTTACCCAAAAGAAAAGAATTTAAAGCAACTTTTTTTTTAAAGATGAGATAGTGTCATTATTTTTATAACTTTTTCTTTTTTTTAATGCAGATCTAATAAAAATATCTTACTACACATAATCCACAATGAAAGTAAAACGAAAAAAAAAAGGTTTGGATATTGAAACAACTGAACTTTTTTTGCCATAGGAGAAAGTTGAAAGTCCATTTTCAGTGGAGATAGTTTTACAAATCAATGTTTTTGTGATAAAAGAATTATAATAATTTTACCATCTTTTTATAACTTTTTACCCTTAAAAAAGAATTAAAAACAACGTTTTTTAAGATGAGATAGTGCCTGCATTAAAAAAAAAAGATATAAAAATAATGACACTCATCTTTTTTTTTTTTTAAACGTTACTTTCAATTCTTTTCTTTTGGGTAAAAGATTATAAAAAGAAGGCAAAATTAGTTTAATCCTTTTATTCCAAAAACATTAATTTGTAAACTTATCCACAATGGAAATTAACTTTCAACTTGTCTCCTGTGGCAAAAAAGTTCAGTTGTTTCAATATCCAGACCATATTTTTTTCGTTTCACTTTCATTGTGGATTATGTGTAGTAAGATATTTTTATTAGACCTGCATTAAAAAAAAAGAGATAAAAATATGTAAATAGCAATAAAAAAAGCCAAAAAATGAAGCAATCCCATCTTAGCAAAAAACAATGTCTTTTAACCCTTTCCTAATAGGAAAAGATAAAAAAAAGGAAACGGATTTGGGTAGTAATCATTATTTAAATATTAGGGAAAGGGTTACAAGCCTTTTTTCTTTTTCTTTTTTTTTTCTTTTTTTTTTGTCAAGAAAGGAACCGTGTCATTCTTACCTTCTTATCGTTTTTTTGCCACAGTAGGCTGGTTAAAAGTCAATTTTTATTGGAGATAGTTTTACAAATCAATGTTTTTGTGATAAAAGAATTATAATAATTTTACCATCTTTTTATAATCTTTTACCCTTAAAAAAAGAGTTAAAAGCAACGTTTTTTTTAAGATGAGATAGTGCCATTATTTTTATAACTTTTTTTTTTTTTTAATGCAGGTCTAATAAAAATATCTTGCTACACATAACCCACAATGAAAGTAAAACGAAAAAAAATATGATCTGGATATTGAAACAACTGAATCTTTTTTTGCCATAGGAGACAAGTTGAAAGTCAATTTCCATTGTGGATAGGTTTACAAATTAATGTTTTTGGAATAAAAGGATTACACTAATTTTGCCTTCTTTTTATAATCTTTTACCCAAAAGAAAAGAATTAAAAGCACGTTTTTTGTTTTTTTTTAAGATGAGATAGTGTCATTATTTTTATAACTTTTTTTTAATGCAGGTCTAATAAAAATATCTTACTACACATAATCCACAATGAAAGTAAAACGAAAAAAATATGGTCTGGATATTGAAAAACTGAACTTTTTTGCCCAAAAGAAAATAATTGAAAGCAACGTGTGTTTTTTTAAAGATGAGATAGTGTCATTATTTTTATAACGTTTTTTTTAATGCTGGTCTAATAAAAATATTTTAGTGTGCATAATAATGAAAGTAAAACGAAAAAAACTATGGTTTGATACTGAAACAGCGTCAAGACGATGACAAAGAAGTACATTTTATTAGTAATTCATTGGACAATCGTCAGTTTTATCACTGCTCATACGATTTGCAAAGTTCCATGTAGTCCAAAATGTTGCTCTAAGAATTAAATTAATGGAGGGTTCTCACTGGATGGACTACATGGAAACCGTAAACATACCTAGCTTAACAACCCACATCTATAGAATGATAGAAAATTTTTTATGATTCGTGCATGAATAGCCGTCAGGAGTTGAGGTAATGCAATTGGTTATTCTATTGCCAAAAAAAAAGTGAAGAATCAATGTTTTTCGATAATAAAATTATATGTGAGCTTAAGAACTGGTTACGACAACTGGCACAGTCCTTGAACTATAGCAAAACCAGTTCGAAGTACAGATTGAGCAAGCAGTAAAGTTTGTCCCGATGTGCCAAAAAAAAAAAAATTTAGTACTGTGAGAATACGTCTAAACAAACGATGAAATTCGCCGTTCAAACGAATGGGAAAATTCTTGGTCAATTTTAACCTTTGAACTGAATCTTTTCTTTTCAAAATGATCCCAGATTAGAATAAGATCACACCGATTTAATCGAATTTTATTAAGCTTTTTTAGGATTTTATGGCAAAATGTATTCTTGCGGGACGTAAACAAAACAATTGTAGTGATGGATTGCGAACATTAGCACAAATGTATCAATTGACAGCCAATGACATCGAGCGGAAGGACATGTTGCCTCTTTCAAAAACAAAAATAGAAATATTCCAGTCTTTACACGAAATAACTAAAGTGAATTTACATTTATTTTTTATTCACTAAATTCACTAATTTCGTGGTCCGTTTGACCAATTATTTTTTTATTCCACATTGATCGGTAGTTTAATATTGAAATTAGCCATAAAATTCAAAAACAAATATAAAAATGACATACAAGTCAAGGTGAATTTACGACAGTTCATCTACCGAGTAAAACGTTTTTGATATCTACCATTTTTTATGTTTAAAAAAATGCTTAAAAGCCGAAGTTTTGATATTATATGGTAATTTAATAAAACATTCTTAACACCCAAAACATTGGGTATAAGTGCCGCTTTTGTAGACTTGGTAGATGGTACCTGCAACTGATTACTCTCTATGGTGTTATAGCCGAAAAAAATCACCGTTTATTTTATAAGTAGCCGAAGCTTTGTATACATGACAGCACAAGAAGAAAATCAATATACACGGAAAAGTAAGAATGCCAGACTTAAATGTCTGCACGGTGTCCTTCATTTCGAATTAAATTTAAGTACGGCTCCTTTGAAGAGAAAACACCCTTCTCCATTTAAGGTCAGAGCACTAATCAGCTGCTACAGATTAATTAGCGAGGGCAGCTGGAATCATAAGTGCAATAACATAGGTCACTCGAAAATCTCTCAACTATTGAGTAAGGTTAATGGTCAATTATT